TGGAGATCACGGGCAGGCATGAGCGGGTATTGGCGGTGAAAAGGAAAAAAACGTAGGTATGGGCGGCCAAGAAAAAGAAAAGCATGGGTACAACCGTTATAGGGTGGTGAAGAAAACAAATCAGATGGGTATGGGCGGGTAAGCAACTGTCTCTTATACACATCTAGATGTGTATAAGAGACAGTTCTTAGGGTTCGGTTGTAGAACTCACCAAATGTGCAGAATTAGAATGAATCTTCTACTAGAAAGAAAAAAAAGACGCCGCCATATGTTTTGTCTTTTGTTCATGTGGTGAGTAGAGGCCCACGGCCTGTTTGCTTTCAAATGTCAAGGCCTGGAAACTTCCCGAGTTTCCATTGGTCTGCTGCTTCTTGGGCCTTTGGGTCATGACTTTTCGATTTGGCATATGATTTCGACTGTGGACTGTGACTCCTGCCACTAGGACACGAATCTAGCCTGTGCAACTACCCTTTGACCGTGGGATGTGACTCCTCAATATGACTTTTCATTATGAAACGTGATTTTCGCCCCTAAGATGTGACTGTTTGTTGGGTGCCTATTGGACTGGACTGCTACGGTACCCTACTATGACCTTAAAGTTTATGAAAATGACTAACTCGGCCATTTCTCGACCCTAAGCCCCGAATTGGGGGTCTGAATCGTGGAAGGCCTTTCAGCATGTGGTGAGTAGAGGCCCTTAGGGCCACTGCACGTATTCCTAGGGGGGGGAAAATTAGAAAAAACAAAAGAAAATTGAGAAAACAAAAGAACAACGAGAAAAAGAAAGAAAAACGAGAAACAAAAGAAAAACGAGAAAACAGAGAACTAGCGACCCATAACTGTGATGCACAGAGTGCCACAGCCCTGAATTTGAATCCAGACTATGTATTATCGGCCCACACAGACAATCTACAAGTCTAATGTCTATCTTTGCTCCACGAGGGGTCCTTGCTAATCCGTAGGGGCCCTTCGGAAATGAGACTGGACGAATAGATTGGAGCATTTAAAAAAAAAAAAAAAAAAAAAAAGGACTTGCACTCACATGCACCTGTCTCTTATACACATCTAGATGTGTATAAGAGACAGAGTTAGGGATACTCGTACATCTTCTTCGAAAGTGTACAGCTTTGTTTCTTTCTATTTTACGAAATTGCTACTTCAGGGTTGTAAAGGGGTGACAAG